TTCAAAACTAAGACATAAAATACTTCAAATGGCACTTCATTAAAAATATAAATATATCACTTGTATAAATTAACTCAACTTCATATACTTAAATATCAATAAATTAAAAATAATTAAAGTAGTGTCCTGATAATGCTCATACTTTTTAATTCTTCACAGAGAACAGCGTAAGTTTTGTGCACGCCAGGGAGTGGTTCCTCCAATAACATGTCTGAAGTGTGAGAGGCATAGTCTCACTCTCCTGGCTTCTAAGGAACAACAGATCTCTTTGTTCTTCTGTCAGCCCATGATACTTTTCTTATTCTCCTCCAATACCATAACTAAAACGCACCCATTCTTCGATGGTCTTCCTGATTCATTGTCCAACTTCCACATGCATATGAGGCTGTTGAAAATATCAGGGCTTGGGTCAGCAGTCCTCAAACTGACATCTTTGCTCTTGAACACTTTAAAGAGGCCTTGTGCAGCAGTCTGACCTAATGCAAAATGCCGTTTAGATTTCTTGGCTACTGCTTCCATGAGTGCTGATTGTGGATCCAAGCAAAATGAAGCCTTTGACAACTGCAATCTTTTCTCCATTGATCATGATGTTATTTACTGGTCCAGTGGTGAGGATACTTCTTTTCTGTACATTGAGGTGCAGCCCATACTGAAGGCTGTGGTCTTTGATCTTTTCATTTTTGACAACAAGCAAGGTTGTATCATGTGCATATCACAGACTGATAATGAGTCTTCCCCCCATCCTGATACCCCGTTCTTCCTCGTATAATCTAGTTTCACAGATTATTTGCTGAGCCTACAGATTGAATAAGTATGGTGAAAGAGTACAGCCCTGACACACACCTTCCCGGATTTTAAACCATTCAGTGTCCCTGTGTTTTACTCTAATAGCTGCCTTTTGGTGTAAGTACAGGCTCCTCATGAGTACAATTAAGTGTTCTGGAATGTTGCCCATAGCTTGTCATGATCCACACAATTAAAAGTCTTTGTGGAGTCAGTAGAGCACAGGTGAACATCTTTTTGGTATTGCCTGCTTGCAGCTAAGATCTAGCTGATATCAGCAATAATATTCCTTGTTTCATGTCTTCGTCTGAATCCAGCTTGAACCTCTGGCAATTCCCTGTCAGTGCACTGTTGTAGCTGTTTTGTTTTTTAGTTTTTTTAGCAAAATTATACTTGCATGTGATATTAATGATATTGTCTTATGATTTCCACATTCTGTTGGGTCACCTCTCTCTGGAATGGGCACAAATATAGATCTCCTACAATCCAGGTAGCTGCCTTCCAATTTTTTTTGGTATAGATGAGTGAGTGCCTCCAGTTTGTTGAAAGGTTTCAATGTGTAGTCAATCTATTTCCAGAGCCTTGTTCTGTGCCAATGCCTTCAGTGCGCCTTGGACTTCTTCCTTTAGTATCATGGCTACTGATCATATGCTATCTTGAAATGGTTGAACATCATCCATTTCTTTTTGATACAGGGACTATGTGTTCCTTGCATCTTCTTTTGATGCTTTCTGCATCATTCAATAT